GCTGACCTCCCCCCACACACCCCAGGACTGCACTGACCTCCCCCCACATGCCCTACAGGACTGCGCTGACCTCCCCCCATGTACCCCAGGACTGCACTGACCTACCCCCACACGCCCTACAGGACTGCACTGACCTCCCCCCACACACCCTATGTGACTGCGCTGACCTCGCCCCCACACATCCTATGGGACTGCGCTGACCTCACCCCACACACCCCAGGACTGCGTGACCTCCCCCCACACGCCCCAGGACTGTGCTGATCTCCCCCCACACACCCTGCAGGACTGCACTGACCTCCCCCCACATGCCCCAAGACTGCACTGACCTTGCCTCGCATGCCTTACAGGACTCTCTCCTGGGAGCAGCCCCCTACAGGGCCTCATCGACTGCCTGAGGGAAATCCTCGTGCCAGGCCCCCAGCATCCCAAAGTGTCCCCGAGCAGACTGCACCCCCACCCTACCCTGAGCAGTTGGAAGTTCACTGGGCTGGAGCCGGCACCCGGGAGGCCGAGCCCAGAAGGTGAGTCCCAGACCTGTCATCTCGGGTCAGGGCTCCCGAAGCCCCTGAAGCTCTCGTTGCCTCTTGTAGACCATTCTGCTCCAGGATGTCTTCCTGAAGGAACATCAGCAGCATGGTGGTGTTCCAGGTTCTCAGTGTAAATTTTAAAATGTCCTTAGCTAGTAAGTGAACACTCAGGGCAGGGTGCTTGCTGAACTTGGTCCTGCTTTCTTTGGTGCTCCTTACTCTTGCCCACATGGGGGCCCTGGGGAGAAAGCTGTGGAGTTGGTGTGTCTGTTGACTCTGGGCAACACGGTGTGGGAGGCAGGCCCGGCCCCCAGCCATGCAGACGCTGAGGGACCCCTTCAGATGAGGGTAACGCTTCCCACCTCCTGGGTCGCTGTGAGGTTGAAGTACAGTAACGTTTGTAAAAGCTCCAGTGGAGTCTGGGCCCCTCACATCCAGGGCCCATCAAGGTCCCTGGGAGCTAGGAGGAACGACTGGTTGGCCTTCAGAAGGTACTGCCACATCTTTTTCGTTCTTTCCCCGTGCACTTCTGGGAAGGACGTGGGCAGGCATTTTTCATCAAGCACGAAGCAGACGGTGGTTAGCGCAGGACTGAGTGAGGTCCTCCCAGACCTGAGTTCCAGATTCTGGCCCTGTCGAGACTGCTTGCTGCTGCAGTTTGTCGCGAGGCCTGGGGCAGTGGGCTCCAGGTGATGGTTTGTCCCTTTTTCCTCAGTGAAGGTGGAGGCAGCTCCAGGGGCCTGCGCCCTCCGGGGTCGGCTGGGCCATGTAAAGCAGACTCCAGGGGCCTCGGGAGCAGGGCAGCCACGGCAGCAGGAAGAGCCAGGGGCCCAGGAGCGAGGTTCTGGAGGTAAAGGCCACAGGGATCCCATGTCCTTCCTGCCTAGATGGAGCATCTGACATCTGACATCGGTCAGAGCGCCAGACGAGGCCTCCAGGCCTCCCCACAGGGCCTGAACCATTGTAGACCCCTCCCTCCTGCTATGGTCCTGGGTTCCCCACCCACCTCGGAACTGCCCCCAGCCCCTTCGTCCTGTCCTAGAGTCCTCTGCTCACCACTCACCCCGGAGGGTGCAGGCCCCTGGAGCTGCCTCTGGGGGTCCGTGGCTCAAGACAAGACTGGGGTCTGCTCACACTGAAGGGTCTCACAGACCCTCTCCCGGTGGGACCCTCAGCCCCTGGACAGGTTCTGCACCCGCAGGGGGAAAGGAGAACCCACCGCCCTCTCTCTCAGGCAAGGAGGCCGACCCCCTGTCCTTCTTCCCTGTCAGCCACTCTCCCTAACCCACGCCCCCTCCAGGCCCCTGCCCCGTGGCCCTGACATCTTAAGCATGTTGGCTCCCAAAATGCAGGCACTCAGATCTGGCGTGTCCCAGCCACCTCCTTGGGTGCAGCTCCCTTTGGCCCCTCTGTGAGGCCGAGAGCAGGTCAAATCCCCCCAAAAGAGGGTGTCTTGCATGGTGGCCCCTGCAGAAGGCCCACTGGGGCAGCCCGGCTGGGTGAGCCAGGGCACTGACGGGTCCCTTCTGTCCCAGCCAGCAGGACCTCAAGCTCTCCCCTGGAAGCCCTAGAGGCCTGTCTGAAGGGCATTCCCCTGAGTGTGTCATCACCCCCCCAGCTGCCCACCACCTCTTGGTCCTGGAGCCCCCAGCAAGGACCCCTGAGGTCTCCAAGGCCCAAGCTGAGGCCCCATGGATTGCACAGCACAGGTAGGCTGTGGGCTCAAGGTGGCACTGGTCCTTTGTGAACAGTAGGGGGGGACATGCAGAGTACACTGAGGCCACCTCCCTCCTCTTGCCAGGCTCCCTGAGGTCCAGGAGCCCCGCCCAGGGCCCAGGCCTGCCCCCATCCCCAGACAGTTCCCAGCTTAGCGCCTGCTCCCTTAGGAGCCTGGTCGCTTGGATCTTACCACGTGAGCTGGGGTTTCAGTGGGTTAGCGCAGCACCGGCTTTCACCAAGCCGACACTCCGACACTGAGGGGAGTCTGGTGGGTGGTGCTTTGCCCAGCCAGCCCGCGGGGTTTCCATGACACCGACACGGCTATCTTCCCACAGAGGTGACCGTGGGGCCTCTTCTTCCCCTGGGCCTGCAGGGTCCTGTGAGAAACCACTCTGCCTGCCACCCAAGCCTCTGTGGCAGCCCTGCCAGCTCTTCCTCGCCCAGCAGCTCCGACGGGGACCTGGATTTCAGGAGTCCTGAGGGAAGCCAGGGGCGCCGCCCTGGAAGAGGTGAGCTGGGCTGGCTCAGGTGGATTCAGTGTGGGAGAAGCTGGCCCTCGCTCCTCCCTGCCTCCCTGGTCAGCACCCAGACCTGGAAGTGGAGCGAGTAGGGCAGAGGCGGGAGCCGACGCGGTCGGGGAGTCGGGGAGGAGGACGGTCAGCATCACAGAGGGATGAGGAGGAGTCTCCTTTAGTGTCGCATTCTCCCCAGTCCCAGCCACAGAGGGGAGCGCCTGCATCCTCACTGCTTACGGTCCGTGTAAAAGCGCCCCAGAGGGACTGGGGACCTCACATTTGTCCTTGGGGGGTCCGTGAGCGGCCTCCCATCTGCCCTCAGTCCTGAGCAGTTGTCGGTCACAGTTCACGGAGAACTCTCTGGAGTCCTGTGGGACTGTGATGGCCCTTCTTGGCGACTTTTTTTCTCATCTGAATAATCCAGCAGTTGAGACGTTGGGTGCTAACTAGAAGGTCACCAGTTCAAATCTACCAGCCGCTCCTTGGAAACCCTATGGGACAGTTCCACTCTGTGCTGTAGGGTCACTATGAGTCAGAATTGACTCGACAGCAGTGGGTTTGGTTTCGGTTTCGGTTTTGGCCTGGCCCGCAGACCGCCGACCTCCTCGGTCCGCGTGAGCCCTGGCCTGCATCCAGACCCAGCCAGGCCCCAAACCCTGGCAGCCACATCCGTGTGCCCTACTAGTGTTTAGCCCCATGGGCATGGAACTTTCCCCCCAAATGCAAGGGACTTTTTTCTCAGCTTTTCCTTTTTAGTGGGTAATATAATCACACGAAGGAGTCCTAGTGGCAGGTGGTTAAGTGCCAGGCTGCTAACCAAGAGGTCAGTGGTTCCAACCCACCAGCCACTGACCTGTCGGTCATCCCCTCACACAGGGTAGCATCTGTGCAGCCCCTTCGGTCTCACGTCCAGTCATGACCTGGTCTCTGGCATCTCTATTTTGTCTTAATGACGTGGTAGTAGCAGCCACCCAGCATTTTCTGTACAGACTAGACACTTCTTTTTAATGTGTCCTCTGTGGGTGGACTTTGCTTGCTAAGGAAGGCGAGCTTTAGGAGACATCACGCTGGCGTTTGGAAGCTTCTGGCCCAGCTTCCAGCTCCCTCTGCACCAGCACTCAGCTGTGTCCCCTGGGGACACCTCCAGTTCCCACTTGGCCGGAGAGCTGCACGAGGCAGCCAGAGGGTCTGTGCCTTCCCATTTCCCTCCCACCACCTGGACCTAAAATCAACCGACACCTTCAGGAAAGCAAACAGAGGACATTGCTCACCCAGGACGGACCCTGCCATCTAAAATTCTAGTTCTCCTAGTCTTTCCTCTTCTGTTAGAAGTGTCTGTGGTTTGTGTGTGTGTTTTCTCGTTGTTGCCACCTCAGTGCTGGCTACACAGCCTGCTTCATCCCACCAGCACGTGGGTCCTTAATCGGAAGGAGGTTGTACCTAATCCACCCCCAGACCTTCCTGTGGGCTGGCCGGGGCATCACCCTCAGAGGAGGTAGCTGAGCAGGCCAAGGAGGGCTCTGTGTACTCACTGGTGCAGAGACATCCACAGAGAGCATAGACAGGTCCCAGGTCAGCATGGCTGGGCCAGCCAAGCAGGGCTGCCCCAGGACGGGGTGCCACGGCATGCTCAGTGGCCCAGGCATGGCCCTCGGAGCTGCAGATTCTGAGACTGAGTGAGCTTGACCTTTCCAGGAAGCCCAGTGGAAAGCTCCCTGCCCCAAGGCCTGGAAAGATGCCTCAGAGAGAGGCCCCAGCCCAGAGCACAGCCCGCCTGGCCTTGGCCCTCAGGTGCAGAGCCCGGGACCTGGACGGCACACGAGGAGGGTAAGCTGCAGCTGCACAGGCATCTGGGCCCAGGCACTGCCTCCTGGCGGCTGTGGACTCAGTGCCACGTTCCAGGGTGAGCGACGGGATGGAGACAGGCCTGGTTCTGAAGCCAGTAGCCAGAGAGTGCTGTGCAGCCCCAGATCCCGGGGGGTACCTGTGCCCAGTGATGGGTAAAGCCCAGTGGAGCTCCCAGCCCTCCAGGCTGCCATGCGGTGGCCTGAGCCACCCCTGTGGGCCCTGGCTCTGCTGGCTGAATGCCTGACATCTGGGCACAAACCCACTGTGGGACCCCCAGGAAACCAGACAGCAGGGTTTGCTGGGAGACTCTGCAGGCCCTAGGGAAGCCTGAGGTTTTCTGGCAAGTCCTTTTTCCACACTGGAAGCCCCTGTTTCATGACATGCTCCTGCCTCTTCTACCACAAGGTTCTGGGCGGCAGCGGGAACAGTGCCCCCCGTGGCTCTTGTCCTGACCTCACCCCTGCCTCCCTTACCATCAGAACTCAGAGAGGAGGGACCCAGCCAGGTGGTGGCTCCGAGCCCGCAAACGCCCTGCGCCTACTGGCATTTTCCCTCCAGTTAATGCCCTGGAGGAGGAAACAGGCCCCCCTCTGTCCTTCCACCTCACAGTCCCCTCCCAAGACCGCCAGCTGGAGCCCCTCTGAAGGCAGAAGAAGACAAATCAATGTGAAAGTGCTGTAAGAGGGGAAGAAGACACCATTCCTGTCGTCCACGGGGCTCCTCTGGGGAGGGATCAGCTGTTTTTCCTGCTGTGGCCGGGGAGGGTCCCCAGTCTAATTTGCCAGCAGAGCCCTGGCCTGTATCTGCTGAAACACCCAGACACAACCAGACACAGTGTTCAACATTCCCCCAGGCCTGGCCGGCGCCCGAGCACCGGGGGCCTCAGATTTTCCGGCAGTTCCCCAGTGACTTACAGAGGGTCTGGGCCCCTGGCCAGGCCTGCCCAGGATCAGAGAGGGGCTGTCAAGGTCACTGCAGAGCTGCGAGGGGTGGTGCTTAGGGCCCTCCTGGCTGTCAGATGGCAGAGGCTCTGGGTTCTCCTTTCCCAGGGGCATTCGCCAAGCCCTCCCCACTGCACTGCCTGGAGAACTCTCTGGAGGGCATGCTGCCCGGGCAGCCCCTGTGTTTCACTTGCTTGGCCAGCCCCAGCCCCAGCCTCAGTCTCAGCAGCTCAGAAGGAGAAGACCAGAGGCTGGAGCCCGAACCAGGACCCCCACCTCTGCAGGGTGAGCTCATGATGGGGAGGGTGCAGGACACAGGACCCCCATGTCTCCAGGGTAAGCTCACAGGGTGGGGGAGGGGTACAGGATACAGGACTGCCACGTTTCCAGGGTGAGTTCATGAGTGGGTACAGGACACAGGACCCCCACATCTCCAGGGTGAGCTCATGGCAGGGGTACAGGACACAGGACCCCCACGTCTCCAGGGTGAGCTCACGGTAGTGGGGAGGGTACAGGACACAGGACCTCCGCATCTCCAGGGTGAGTTCACGGGGGAAGGTACAGGAAACAGGACCCCTGTGTCTCCAGGGTGAGGTCATGGGGGGGATACAGGACACAGGACCCCCGTGCCTCCTGGGTGAGCTCATCCTGGTGCTCCTGCAGCCGTAGGAACAGCAGCTGTGGGAAGGCCCAAAGGACAACCTGGGGACCGCAGAGACCTGGTGCAGGGAGTTGAGGTGTCCGTGCAGGGTCCATGCCGGGAGCTCAGGGTCTCCTTGGGGTCACAGGACCCTCCTCTGCATTGAAGGATGTGCAGGACAAGGACATAGAGCCTGTGTTGTCCCCTGGGCAGGCTGAAAGTCCTGTGCCTGGCTTTCTGGTCTACCCGTCACTTGTACTGACTCTTGCAGAGGGTGTTCTAGACCTCTCCTCAGTGTCTCTCGTGGGGTGCATGTGTCTGAGAGCTCCCTCAGAACCCCCTGAGGAGTATCCAGGGAATACCTGTGTTAAAAATGTGTGCAATAAGCTTTCCCAAACATGTGGACAGGAGATTGCCTCCTGAGAGCCCTTTGCCTTGGAGGCAGGTCCATCAGAAAGCTGGGGTAACCACCCACTGCCTGAGGCCGCCCCACCCCTCACCCCAAGCTCCAGCCTCCAAGCAGGGTTTGCCGCAGCTGCGAAAAGCCGAAAAGCCGGAAGGCTGGAGGCACTCCTTGTTGCCAGGGGAGAGATGTGAGAATGAGCCCTCAGGCCGACTGGTGCCACAGCAGCACTGAGAAGGTGGGGTCATGGGGTCGATGGTCGGTGGTTAGGAGGGGCAGCTCGGCCTCCCCCTCCAGCCCAGCCTCTGATCACAAGCCTTGGCCTCGGCCTAGCACAGACCGGGCTGCTGCACGTCCTCTCTGCCTCGGGAGCCCAGCAGGGCAGCAAGGCAGGTGGGTGGGACTCAGGGAAGCCCCAGCAAGAGGGCCTCCAGTCAGGTGTCCACCTGCTGTCCCTGCCCCATCGCCCGAGACAAGCAGAGGCAGTGCCTGTAGGAGTCACTGAGCCAGCCCCATGCCCAGCAGTCCCTTCAGGCTGCGCCCCTCAGGACCAGCAAGGGCACCCACCTCACATCTCATCTGCAGGTTTTAAGAAGTTGAAAGTTTGATTTCCACCTTTCAGGCCATGTCACAGTATCCACACGTCAGAATGGCTCTGGCAGGTGCTCCACGTCCAAGAACCGAATTCACACCTCCCTGCCCACTGCAGGGTCGGTGGTGCCTCCGCATGCTGCCCCTCGGCTCGAGGGAAGGCCTGGGCCCTGCCAGCCTGCTGGACCCACCCATGGACCTGGGGCCTGCAAGCCCGGGCGCCTGGAGCCTGGACGTGGCAGCCCACCTGTCACAGGTGAGGTGGTAGTAGGGTGCACCTTGCCAGAGATCTCCGGGGAGAGAAAGAGTCCTCGTGGCCGACGAGCTCCGAGCAGTCCTCTGGTTCCAGCCAGCTCTGAGGGTGGGTTCCTCGCCACAGCCTTGCCTGAGTCACCACCCCTGGCCCCTGACGCCCGCACCCGGCCACCGTGCCCCTGTGTAGACCTCCAGCAGGAGCTGCGCAGCCTCACTGCCGCCGTCTCAGGGAAGCTGGATTGGCTCGCCACCACCCTGGCCAGCCTGTCCCGGGACATGGCTGCCATGAAGGACCAGGTGAACTGGGTCAGGCGGCACCTGCAGGGCCACAAGCTGAAGGGCTGGGGCTCCTGGCCAACACCCAGAGCTCACAGGTGCCCCCCCTACCGGAGACCCCTAGGTCCCGCCAGGCCCAGACCCAAGCTTCTGCGGGGGCCGGGGGAGGGCGGCTCTGCAGGGCCCCCCACCAGGAGGCGGCCTTCAGAAGCCCCACCAGCTTTAGCCACACCTTCAGGACCCGCCCGCGGCTGTGCGGCCAGAACCATGCAGCCCCCCGAGAGCCCTTTCCCATCTCCAGAGCCTGCCGCTTTGTCCCCGCCCAACCACCCCTCCCCCTGAGGCTGTTGCAGAGGTGGGACCCCCGCCTGTGGTGGCTGTACCAACCACCATCCTAACTCGGCCCATGGATGCAGGAGGAGCCCAGGGGACCGTGCCCAAGGGGACCTGGGGAGGTGGGTGTGGAGACCCAAAGCGTGGGGGCTCTGAGCTCCTCCCCAGTCCTGCTGAGAATGCCCCCGTTGCCCCCTACCAGCCCCTGGTGGGCCATCCCACCCCGCCATCCCAGCACCCGTGGACCCTTTCTCATCACCCTTCTGAAGCCCTTTGCCCTGACTGACCTGGACCCCCAGGATGGTGTCTGCTCAGGGAGGACATTGTGGGGCAGGGGTCTTCTGCCTTGGCTCAGGTTCCATGAGATGCTGATCTCTCCCTAATCTTCCCACCATCCTCACCAAACCTAACAGGGTGTGTGTGTGCTGTGCTGTCCACAGTGCACCTGTGTGGGTGTGCGTGAGGGTGTGTGTGTGTATGAGGGCTGTGTATATGAGGGTGTGTGTGTGTGCTGTGCTGTCTACAGCACATATGTGAGTATACGTGAGGGTGTGTGTGTATGTGACGGTGTATGCGTGTGCGAGAAGGCGTGTGTATGAGGGCTGTGTATATGAGTGTGTGTGTGTGTGCTGTGCTGTCCACAGTGCACCTGTGTGGGTGTATGTGAGGGTGTGTGTGTATGAGTGTGTGTGTGTGTGCTGTGCTGTCCACAGTGCACCTGTGTGGGTGTGCGTGAGGGTGTGTGTGTATGAGGGCTGTGTATATGAGGGTGTGTGTGCGTGCTGTGCTGTCCACAGTGCCTGTGTGGGTGTGCGTGAGGGTGTGTGTGTATGAGGGCTGTGTATATGAGGGTGTGTGTGCGTGCTGTGCTGTCCACAGTGCCTGTGTGGGTGTATGTGAGGGTGTGTACATGCATGAGGTGTGTGTGTGCTGTGCATATACCCATGTGTGTGAGGGTTGTGTGCTGTGCTGTGTACAGTGCGTATGTGGGGGTATATGGGGGGGGTGTGAGGGCTGTGTATGTGAGGGTGTGTGCATGCATGAGGTGTGTGTGAGGGCTGTGTATGTGAGGGTGTGTGCATGCATGAGGTGTGTGTGAGGGCTGTGTATGTGAGGGTGTGTGCATGCATGAGGTGTGTGTGAGGGCTGTGTATGTGAGGGTGTGTGCATGCATGAGGTGTGTGTGAGGGCTGTGTATGTGAGGGTGTGTGCATGCATGAGGTGTGTGTGAGGGCTGTGTGTGCTGTCTTGTGTGTAGTATGTGTGTATGTGAAGGTGTGTGTGAGAGGGTTATGTGTGCTGTGTTGTGTGCAATGCATATATGTATTTGTGTATGTGAGAGAGAGGGCTGTGCATCTGTGTACGCGGGTATGTGCGTGGGAAGGTGTGTGTGTGGTACGTGCGTGCATGTGTGTGTATAGGTGAGGGCTTTGTGTGCATGCTGCTCTGTGTGTGTGTGCACCCCCTGTACACACACGGCTCTGTGCAGCTGTGGCCGTACAGCCCCCTCTTTCCATCCCCCCATCCTGCTCTCAGAGCTCTGTAGTTTGCGTCTTGCCCTCCGGTAGGAAATGCCAACAGACTTGACTGTGGAAGAACACTGCCCCCTGGTCTATGCTGGCCTAACCCATGTGGATTCTAGAATTAAAGAGAAAGGCCTTTGGCTCCTGGAGACGGGGACAATGGGCTCTGACCAGCATGGTGTGGAGAGGGGGACCCCCGCTCCGACCCAGGAGAGCAGTTCCCACATTACCACTCAGGGAAGCATGGTATCCCAGGAGGGGCTGGGCTGCCCCTTTCCTCATGGGAGGAGAAGGCCTGAGCCAGACAAACCAGCACCGCCAGTGTGACCACTGCCTCCCAGGTCATGTCCTCCTCCCACCCTGAATTCCCCAAGTCCCTTGTTCAAGTGAGGCAGCCTCGGGGCCCAGGGAAGAAAGGCCCTTCATGGGTTCTCTCAAACTTGCTGTTGGGAGCAGGGGATGGGCTGCCAGTAGGGGGGCTTGGGGAGTGAGGGCTCCTCCCCCTGAAGACACCTGGGCAGCTGTGGCTGCTGGGCCAAGCTTCACTCAGCAAACGAGGCCCAAGAGGCTGGCACCTGGTCTAGGGGCTCCATGCAGCCCCCCTTCCTTTTGGGGCACCTCAGGGAGGAGTAGGCTGCAGGTCTAGAGCCCAGGAAGGTGGCTCAAGATGGACAGGCTACTCCAGAAAAGGGTGGGAGAGTGTGCTGAGGGCAAGAATGGGGCCGAGATGAGTCGAGGGACTGACGATCACAGTGGGGTGCTGCTTGGGGTGAAGAGTGGACAAGGTCTCCACTGCAAAGACCCCACAAAGACCAACCACAGATGAGGAAGCAAAGCGAGTCACATTCAGAGCTGACAGAGCCGGGACCCACAGGTACAGTGCGAGTGGCTGTCTGTCCTCTGCCTCCTGCCTTTCCCCCCGACGCTCAGCCGAGGATGGACCTACCGTGGATGTTGGTACAGTGCTTGGGGGCGTTTGCTTTGTTGGTTTTACAAACATCAGCCATCGCACAAACCCTAGGCAGGGGCGTAAGTGAACAAATGACTCGGAGAATGTAAGTGACCTACTCACAATCATACAGCTGTCCATTGTCAGAGCCAGGACTGCAGCTTGACTGTACCCTGCACTCTGCACAGAGCCTTTCACAGTTGTTAACTGAAAACCCGTGTAGAATCAAAGATGATGTGAAGAATCCTGGATGTAATTCACAACTTAATGTCTCCATTCCCTTCACCTATTCTACAGGGCTATTTTGAGGAAGAAAGTGGTTGGTTACTTTGACACAAGAAACTGAGGGGCCTTTTGAGCTTGAGATTGTGAGGTTGAGGGGGAGGCAGTGGGCAGAGGAGGCCCTGGCTTTCCTCACACAAGCCCTGGGGTGACCAAGAACCTTCCCACCCTCCCTTTGAACTTCAGGGAGTCCTCAGAACTCCCCCTGCCGTCTGCCAACCACCTGGGACCACCTGAAAACATAAAAAGCAACGTCCCCTTCAGCACATCAAGATAGGGACGAGCTCCCCAGACCCTGTTGCCCAGGCTACCCTTGAGGGGCCCCATGGGAGGGAGACTGATGGAGGGGGGCTGCAATGCCCCAGGAAGCCGTTGCCCGTCCTGAGGGAGCCTGGCACAGGGAGGATCAGACTTTCGACTCTTTGTGTTCTTGTGTTTAGATGTGGCTCCTGGAAACGGTAGTCATTGAATTTTATCTTCTAATCCAGCTTGACAAATTTTGTTCTTGGAGCCCTTAATGCCTTCCCACGCCATGTAATTAAGATAAAATTAGGTTTGAATATGCCACCTTGTGTGTTTTATGTCAGTCCCACATGTTCTGAGGTTTTTTCCTCCATTTCTGCCACTTTTTGTATTGACAATGTGTTTTTTTTAATCATTCCCTTCTTAACCTCTACTAGCCTTGAAATTTCAGGAAATAAAAGGAGAAACATCCAAATTTACAATCATATTTGGGAGATTTTCAAATACTTTCTTAGAAATTGTAAGGACAGGAAACCAAATCAGAAAGGATAGAGAAGATTTGAGTATGCCAGTTAGCAAAGTTGACCCGATTGATGAAGGTATATAACACTGCACCATAGGACTACAGAATATACATTATTTTCAAGCATACACGAATTTTATAAAAATTGACCATGTATGAGCCCCAGAGCAAGTTTAAGCAAATTTAATAGTATTGAAATTATACAGCCTGTTCTCATCACACTTTAGCTTGTAAGCTAGAAATAAAAATAACCAGAAATATATTAAAAATAATAATTACGCTGCTAAATAACCTGTGTCAATGGATAAATCACAGTGGAAATTAGAAAAAAATTTGAACTAAGAATTATATCAAAACTTGTCAGATAAAATAACTCATTTCTTAGAAGTTTATAGGCACAAATGAGTATGTGGAAATGGAGAGGCTGAGAAGTCATAAGGAGTTGCAAATAGGACACCAAAGGAAGTAAAGAGTGTGTAAAGGTAAGAGGTGAAATAGCATGCATATTATAGGTATTAGCAACAAAATCAAAAACTTTTTAACAAAACAATAACATTTACTAGCCTGTGGTGAAATTCGTCAAAAAAAGAAGGCACAAATAACCGATTTCAGGGATTAAAAGGCGACATCACTACAGATGCTGCAGACTATAGAAAGACAAGGTGATATAAGCAACTGCTCCCGAAATTTGAAAGTTCAAGTAAAATATAAAGTTCCTACAAGAATACAGTTTAACAAAGTACATTCAAGAAGAAATAGAAAACCTGATTAATCCCATACCATTGAAAAAAAATTGCAAAATTGCATCTGTGATCAAACATCTTCCTACAAAGGGAACTACAGGCCCAGAGGCTTCACTGGTAAATTCTACCTCACATTTAAGGAGAAAATAATGCACAAGTTACTCCAGCTATTCCAGAGAACACAAAAATATGGAATACTCTGTCTCATAACCTTGATACCAAACCTTAAGAAGGACAGTACAAGAAAGGAAAACCACAGGCATATCTGGAAAAGTGTATGTAGAAGTAAAATATCGAATGATATAAAAAAGAATTAAACATCATGGCCAATATGGGTTTACCTGAGAGGTGCGAAGATGGTTTAACATTTGAAAATCACTAATGATAACACCACAGTAATAAAAGGAAAAGATCATGTGATCATCCTAATAGATGCAGAAAGAGCCAACATCCATAGACACTCTAAGGAAGTGAAGTCCTTAATTTGATAAAGATTATCTACCCCTGAAAGCTTATAACAAACAATGCTTAAAGGTAACGTTGAACTTCGTCATACCAGAAACAGGACAAGGAGGCCCACTCTCACTACGATTCTGCATCATAGTGGATGTGCCAGCCAGGAGGGGAAGACAAGAAAATAGTAACAAAAGGTATGAGGAACTGAAAGTAAGGAGCAAAAATGACTCACAGGTGATAGGACTATATACATAGAAAACTGAAAGGAATCTACGGAGAAACCGCTAGAGACTATAAGGTAACTGACTACAAAACTAATACAGGAAAACAAGTTGAATTTGCATATACCAGCAACTAGGGTTTGAACTGCCAACCGTTTGCTTAGCAGCCGAACACTTAACCACTGCGCCACCAGGGCTTCAACAGAAAATAAAAATGTAAAGTTTTCATTTATAGTAACAAAGAATTCAAGAATCTAGGGGTAAATCCACAGGAGATTAAATACAGAGAAAACTACTGAGCACTTTTTATGATTTCCTCCATTAGTC